TGCCTTCATTAACTTAGCATTATAGGTATGTGAGCTACAAAAAGAATTCTTTCGTCTTTTTAACATCTCATGATATTACTTGCTACTGCAATATCTGTAGCTTTGAGCTGTCTCCGTTGTAAAAGTGCAGCAAGATGGTAAAAGATGTTCTTTTAAGTTCTCTGGTCTAATCTTTCTCGTTGCATCACGGTGCTATCAAGCGGCTTTTGTTTTATTCTTTATTTTGACTGTTCTGTTTTGGAATTTGTGTTGCTGTAGATCATAGGTCTGTTATTTATTTGTTCAATCTAAGGCAATTATGGGAGTTTCGAGTTCCGCACTTTTGTTTCTGTTCATGTGTTTGTATGAAGGGGTACTCCCACTCTGGTTGCAAAGAGCTCCTTTTTCAACTAATGAAGTCCCTATATCACCTTAATTGCCAATTTTCTAGTTATCATAAAAATTTTAAGGACGATTTGAACGTTGCACGACATTATTCAACTTGAAGTTCGCCCTACAAGCTACCGGATTGTGTTGTGCTCAATTATAGTTTGTTGATTTTTTATTTTTTTTTCTTACATTTGATTCATGTTGGTATCAGAAAGATATTGATGATTTTGGTTATTTTTTTGGTACTAGTAGTTATGGTTTTCTTTATGTTGTATACTGGAATTAATTTCGCTTTTCTTTCTTTATTTTTCGGTGGGCAGCCTTTTGACTGGTTGAGGAAGACATTCTTTGAGAAGACTGATTCTGAACAGAAGTGAAGAGGTGAAAACTTTTGCTGGCAATCCTTTTCTTTATAGGACTGTTATCAAGTCAGAGTTCAAACTCTGAGAGGCATTATGGAATAATATATGTATTCAGTATGAATACTCTGAACATACAAAGTTCGTATTTTTTCATAGAGAAAATACAAGTTCGTAATTCTCGGTTTTTGGTTTCGGAACAAACTTCTCTCTCTCACACACACATTTGAAGTTTGAATTGATAAATGCTTTGTGTGGTGACTGGTGATTGATTCTACACATGGGGTTGCCTTTGCCTTAGTGTATGAGTGTTTGTGTTGTTCAAAATAATGCTTCTGCCTAAACAAGAACATTCCACCTAAGAATGTATTTTCATGCATGATCACCTAATAAGAACAATACACAAGAAAAGGAAGAAACCATAAACACACATAAGATTTTGGGTTATTGTGGGAACTAAACAGCAGATTTGTTCTTGTCCTGTTTGAGAGCCCGGAAAACTCTAGAGCTCTTGTCGAAAATCTGTGCCCTTCTGTTATAATCATCTGGCTCTTTCCCTTCATCTTCCCCCATGATTGCTTCTCTTTCCAAGCACTCGAGCAGCTCGATTAAGCCGGCAAAGTCACCTCTGCATTTACTGCTCAATTCCTTAAGTCCGATGATTTCCTCTTCCAAATCGAACTCCTCATTCGCAGCTAATAACTTGTCGGCTGGTGATGAACCCCCTTTGGCACACTCCACCTTCAAGACTCTTCCTTTATGGAGGCTTTTCGAAACTGGTAAAGTGTAGCTGTGGACAGGGGAAAACACCTTCTTTGTTTTTGGCTTGAAAATGGATGTTGCCGGAGATTGGCCACCGGAAATTGCTGCCTCCATTTTTTTTTATTTTTTTTTTTGTATTTTTTTTTTCTCTTCAAAAGATTTTCTTTTAAGATTTTTGTGTTGGAATAAAATTTCCAAGAAGCGAGGATAAGACTTATATACAGCGGGTGATAGGGATGATTTTGTCACGTGCCCACGTGGAGATAGGAGGGACCAATGTGGATTGGCACGTGCCCCAATGGAGAGGGAGCCACGTTGCTTTCGAGATGTGTCGGATCTTGGATCGTCGTCTCAAACGCGACGTGCAAAAATTGGAATTTTCGTCCTCTCGGTCACATGATTTGAATATTCTTTCTAAATATGTAAATTCTTAGAGTTATTTGTTATTTTTAGTAAATTATTTTTTGGGTACTAAAAATATGTAAATATGTAAATTATTTTTAGTAAATTATTTTTAGCCAGTTCTCTTTAGATCTGCAACTCGTGTTTGACGTTCTTGTTTGAGTACCTAAAATAACGTCCGAAAGGTTCTCAACGTAGAGCCTCCGACGAATTGAAGCAAATCATCTTTATAACCACATCTCTATTTCTATAAGAAAACAAGTACAATATATGTGTATTACATGAGTGTTTGTTAAAAAAAATATAAATAAATTTTAAAAGTAATGAGAAAAAGTGCTTTAAAATTTTAATACTTTTTACAACAATTATTATAAAATTTGGAATGACCATTTATTACTTGTACGATTTACATGTATTATATTATAATAATTTTTCTACTTTATAACTATTTGAAACATAAATATATTAATTGATAAATAATTTTATTTTTCTATCTAATATTAACAAATAATTTTATTAATGTTATAAAGATAAATAAAATACATTTAATTTATACATACAATATGAATGTCAAATCAAAGTTCATCAATGAATAATTAATTTGATATATTATATATGTAAAACTGATAAAAAATACAAAAGTTATCAATTTTTAAAATATATTTACATTTCAATAGTTATAATAACAAATGATATTAAATATAGTTAATACATAACATGACCATAAATAATCAACATATTATAATAATTCGGACCTAGTTATTTTTGGGTTGGAATTAAATTAAAATCTATCATTCAAGTCAAATAACGAAACATGAAATTTTGCCACAGAGGAGTATGTCACTTAGGCTCAACACATTCTGGAATTATATATAAGAGAGAGGGGGGATAGATCTCCTTCCATATTTCCCAGATGCTCACGATTCTCATGATCATAACTTCATTAGTTGTCACGCGGCTAATGCATCGTTAGGTCGCTCACCAGGTGAGAGGTCACCTTCTAGAGCCAGATATGCTCATCAGTATCAGCTCGCTATTCGAGGACTTAGGTTAGGTTCTAGGTCGATAACTCGACTTCCAACACTAGGCGCATGGGACTGAAACTCCAACAAATCTGACGGTTTTCCTCGGCGACCGACAACCACCTCCAAAGCCGGGGAGATAGGCGGGCAGCGAGACCCACCACCAGACTGATATGCAAAAATTTTTCATATAAAATTTCCATTTTTCAATTATTTTGGGTAAAAGAAAAATTCAATTAACTTGGCTTAATTTTTTAACTAATAATTAAATAAAAATGCAAATGTATTCTATATTAAATAAGTAAGATTAAATTACCTAACTAAAAACGTGAATATTAATAATTGCAAATTATGATAAACTAGAGAGAGAATATTGGAGAACCAATGTGCATATGTAAATTGTATGAGACACTAATGTAAGAACAATTAAATAATAACAACTATGCTAAGGAGCCAATTGTTGACTTCAGTCAAAAGCCAATAAACACTAAGTTTGATAAAGACGAAAAAAAAAAAAAACTTTCAGACAATAACACATGGGATTCCCACCCTGAATGCACTGCCTCTGTACACCATGTCATGTTTCCTTCTTCCCAAAACCACAAATCAGAAATTGACTCAATTATTAGCCTCATTTTGGTGGGGTAAGGGTGATCCTGAAAAGAGAACAATTCACTGGAGGGCTTGGAAGAGACTCTCACTGCCAAAAGACAAAGGAGGCCTTGATTTCAAAAATCTTCACCTGATGAACACTGCCTTGATTTCAAAACAAACTTGGAGGATCTTGATTCATCCCAACCTTCTGGTGAGCAGAGTCCTCAGAGCTAAATACTTCCCCAAGGAAAACTTTTTCAGTATCAAGAAGAAAGTGAACAGCTCCTAGATGTGGAACTCCTGGATAACAGTTAGAGACTCCATTTCTTCAAGCTTATACTTTGAAATCAAGCAGGGCAATAAAGTCAAGATTTTGGGAGCATCCTTGGCTACCCTCAGTGAAAGGCCTTATACCTTCTCCTAACCATCCTCAGGCAAGAACTTATACTTGGGTAAAAGAGTTGATTAACAGTACTGGAAGAAGATGGAACATTGACTTAGTGAAGGAGATTTTCTCAGCTGTGGACTGTGCTGCTATCCTCCAGATCAAAGACCTAGATCCAACTAAAGATGACAAGCTCAGGTGGGCCCATGGGAAACTTGGTTCCTTATCAGTCTCCTCAGCCTACTCAAAGCTGGTTGAAGAGAAATGGTCAAAAATGGATATGGCAGAGGCTAGCAGTACCATCAATGAAATTGGAATAATGAGGAAGAGAAGCTGGACTCTTAAAATCAAAGGGAAAATCAGGCATTTCATTTGGAGGAGTGTTGAGAACACCCAACCTTGCCAACTTAGTTAAGAAAGGCATGGTTGTTGACCCTATATGCAAACTTTGTGGTGAAGGAGAAGAAACCCAATAACATGTATTCTTCCATTGCCCTAGAGCAAGACTAATCTGGAAACTCTCACCATTAAGTTGGGACAACTTTGATCTTGATACTGGAAATTTCAAAACATGGTGGACCAAGCTCTGCTCAATCAAACAATGCCCAACCTCAAATGACAGGCTGGGTCTCACTGCTTACATCTTGTGGGGAATTTGGAAGTCGAGAAACCTTATTGCATTCCAGAATCTGTGGAGACCTGAGGTGGCTGTTGTTTCTGCTGCTAGCAAAGAATGGATGGAATTCTCCAGCTCATTTCTATGACCTTCCCTGTTCCCCTGCTAGTTCCCTTTTGGCTCTTTCCCCTTTTGGTTGTTTATTAGCTAATTATGTGTTTCTGTCTCTGTTTTGGTTGATTTTGTTGTTTCTTGGTTTGTCTTATTGGTTTAGGCTAGGATCTGTGATCAATGGTCTTAACCGTTTTGAATGAGGATTAAGCAATAAGCACCGGTCCTTGAGGTTCTGTCTCTGTCGGTTGCTTGTCGTTTAATCCCCTTTGGTTCTTTTGTCTAGAACTCTATTTTTTAGAGCTTCTCATTTCCCTTTGTTAGGGATGTATGGGGTTTCTTAACCTCCGGATGTACATTTGGCTTCGAGTAATAATATCTATCGTTTCGTTAAAAAAAAAAATAAAAAAAAAAATAAATGGGATTCTATGCTATTGAATAGATCGATTTGCCATGCTAGTCGTCCTTTCTTTGATAGGAAAGGAAACGGATAAATCATTATTTTTAGTTATAGAAGATATATATTTAAGTTTGTTAATTGATATTATTTTAAATATAATAAACTAGGCTAAGAATATCTCATAAATACAGTACAAATTTACATTGAGATACAATTTATTTATCATCAAGTAGATATAACATTAAAATAATAAAATAACGAGTCAATCTTTTAAATTAATATATGAATTATTAGCTTAGTAAGGAAAATCAGATCATATATATAATAAATAAATTAATATATGAACTATTTTCACTTTAGTTGACGGTGTTATACAAAACCCACCTATATATACATAAGACCATCTCCAACCGTGAACATGAATTATAGCGTATGTGGCAATTAAATGGATGAACTTCCATCCAGGTGGAACAACTTCGGAGACGGCGTCGGATGGATCAGGGGGCAAGATGTTGGGCAAAGGTAGCTTCGGCCGCGTGTTCATGGCCACGCCGAGAAACCCCGGCTTATTTCCGCCGGAGATGGCTGTCAAGTCCGCCCCGATCCAATTCTCCGACACCCTCCGGTCCGAGAGGGAAATCATGTCCGATCTAAAGGGCTGTCCGAACCTGATCCAGTGTCTCGGCCAGTAAACCACATTTGGAGACGACGGCGGCGGCACCCTGTTCTACAACCTGATGCTCGAATACAGCTTCACGGCCAAAATCAGTGATTTTGGGCTGGCCAAGAGGGAGACGAAATAGGCCGGCAGGAAACGAGCGGCGGCAGGTCCGGGAAAGTGGCAGGGTACTCCCATGTACCTGCCGCCGAAGGCGGTTACCGAGGGGTTGCAGGAGGCGGCAGGGGATGTGTGGGCGGTGGGTTGCGTGGTGGTGGAGATGCTGACAGGGTGGCCATTATGGGAGCCCGGGAAGAAGGAGGATATTCTGAGAAGGGTAGGAGGAGATTGGGAGTATGTGAGGATTCCAGAGTGGATATCGGATGAGGCGACCGATTTTCTGATGTGCTGTTTGGAGAGGGATCCGTCGGGTAGGGTACGAACCGACTTGCTTTTGTACCATCTATTTGTGGAAGGGTGTTTCGAGACGGTGGATTGTGGGAGTGGGGTCATGGAGGATTATTATTCATCGTGTGCTCGTCCAGGGGTCGTCGAAGGTTGTGTGGGCCCGGGAAATGAGGATGTGGGACGAGGTCTGCCTGGGTTTGCGGTTGCTGTATGAATTTTCGAAAGGCCGTGCTTTTAGATGTTTATGTATAGAGAAAGAGATGCAGGGAAATCTTGGTTGTGTCTGTAGATTGGTTTCTATCTCTAATTTGATGTGAAAGGTTTCTATTTCTAATTTGATGTGAAACATTAATGTTTGGCTTTGGCTTTGTTTTCTATAGTACCTTCTGATGAAGCATAATTTAAAAGTTTGAACACAGACGAATATATGATTGAAGGCACAAATGTATTCACCTAGCATTATAAAAACAATGAATGAACCGATAGACCCGATGCAAGCCTATATCATTATTCCTAACTGAACTTTTGTACACAATCAATCAATCATCATCTGCTTTATAACTATACCATGACACAAACCCATAATCGGCTTAAAGGAGACAACCAAAACATACAAACAGAAACACAAACAATCTTATACAATCTTATACGAGCACTGCAACTTATACTTGACCACCACTATCTCACAAAACCTTTCTATACTAAGAAACTGTGTAGCCATTAGCCAAGCCAAACCTCATGTGCTCCATTCCGACCAAAACACCCATAAACGTAAGGAAAATACTTCGGTAGAATCACACCGCCGGTTTCCATTCAGTCACTTGAGGATCAATCATCGAGCACTTGGCTAGGCGATGAGTACCCCATCAGCCGATGAAGTGGAGAACTCGGCAATTCCTCAATCTCCAAGGTGGGCCCAACCTTCCATTTCCCCATTGACCTGGTGGTCAAGACAGATTTCATCTTCCTGTCCTCGACCGCCTCAAATGAACTTCCAGAGGACACCTTGCCATTCGACCGGCCATCCCTGTAGTCATCCGAACAAGAAACGGGCTCAGCAGCCCGTCTGAAGGGTTCCGCCTGATGGTAGCGCGACCCGTCTCGCGTGTCGGCGGCCTTGCTAACCGGAGGCGGAGGAGTTATGGGCCCCGGCATGTAGGGTACTATGTGGGTCCCGCCATGGAGCGAGAATCTCAGGATCGTCCGGCATGCGCTGCACTTCAGCCGGTGGTATTTCTTCCGGTTGAAGAGGAGGAAATCTGCCGGCAGAAGCAGCAGCTCCATGCAGTCGTAGCAGGAGACCATGGGGGCCCCACCGGTCACTGGCCGGACATGCCTCTTTCCGGCAAAGTACTTTTCCTTCAGCTTCAGGCAGGCTCGGGCCTCACCGGTCACTGGTCGGAGCGGGCTCGAGGAGTTCGAGATGCTGGGCCGAGCAGCACAGCACATGCTGCCGCGCATGGGGGGGCTGTGTGGGGGAAGATGAGACGAGTAACGACAGTCTTGGGTCCCCGAAAGGCAGTGTGGGCAGGAGCAGCCGGCCTGCGGTGGTCTGTAGTGCGGGGGATCCCATTGACCGGGACAAACATCGACTTGACTGGGGCACACGTTGTAACCGTGGGGATGGTGGGGGGCACCCGAGTACATCTCTCTTGCGAGAGGGAAGTGATTGTTGTACCTCCCGATTTCCGGTAACTGCATCCGGCTTAGCTGATCTTGCAGCTCACACACGGTTCTCAACAGGTCGAGTTTATTCGGCTCCGGGCACTGAGGCTTGACAACCGGGCGGTTAAGGAGGGAACTATGATGATGATAACTCTCGGGGCCGGGACCCAGGACTGCACTTGCTCTCGAAGGGAATGGAAGCCTGGAAAAACCCTCTTGTCCGTCGAGTCTTTTCCGATTTCCAATTGTGTAATTATTGCTCTCAACCGGTTGGCTCCAGTGGTGGTTTCTCGCATGGCCCCACTCTTGTTTACCATTGGCCGTGTCACGGCCCCTGACTCCATTTTTGCCGAGCAACTCGATGCTGCTGATGTCAGCATCCTTATTCTTTCTTGGGTGTTGCAAAATTTGCTCCCGAACTTGATCATAATTTCCGTCATACGAAGATTCACTACTGTCGTAAGCGTAGTAGGTACCGTTTATTGGGTAATTAGCCATGGGTGGAGATGAGCTTCCGAATGTATCTAGGGAGCTAAATCTTCCAAATTTACGCTCATCCCTAGGAAAATGAGTTGGAATCTCATTATCGGAAGACGCAAGGTAAAAAGACACGAGGCTCTCTTTTGAGGGGGATCGAGAGGTAGCATTAGAACGATACCCATTTGTATTTGTGTTACTTTCCTTGATCTGTCCGGTTGATGGTGATATATCACTTTCATTCGCACGGGAAATAATATGTGAAGAAGCCTTGTTTTCTTGAAGATAGTCTTCTTTCTGGCTAACACTTGCATGCACCTGTGGAGGCAAAACACTCTCCAGGTGCTCATGCTCCGGCAAATTTTGAACTTTAGCAACAAAGGCAACACCCTTTTGCCGAACCCTTTCAGACTCCTCTCGTTCAGTTTGATCCTTCTTGTGTCGTTCCATGTGTTCACCGGCTCCTGGCGTACTGCGCACTTGGGCCTCAAGAGAAAGTTCGCCTGAGCTTGGGATTTCATCTGAGAAACATCCGTCTTGACTCGATTCACCATGATAAGCATTGGAAGTATTGCATATAGAATCGTGCGCTATAAAAATTTTAGTTTCTATGGGTGAACCTTCATCTGGCGCCTCGGGAGAGCTGGAAAGGTTGCTTGTGTCCTCACGAAGTTCCAAAGAGTTTCCATTACATCTTGTGTTGTCTTTATCGGACAAAGTTTCTATTTCGCGTGGACTTGTGAAAGGCTGACTTGAGCTACCAGCCTCTAAAAGCTCATCGGGTTGACTTTTTGCAGCAGAACATGTTTCTTGTGAGGAAAATCTCGAGCTGTGGGTCTCTGGTCTCCGGTTTTTAGCTGTTATACAGATGATATTGCAGAAAGATGTAAGTACGAAAAATTGTGCCAAAATTCATACTACTAAAAGCTTCAATTGTCTTTCTCTTTATTTTGTTTTCCTTTTCGGTGTCTTTTTTTCGAGGGAAACTCTAACAATCACTTATTCTACAGGTGTCAAATAATTACCTTGGAGAACAGTGCCACAACCTCCACATTTGTACAGGGGAACCTCAGGCAATTCTGCAAGAACCTGTCTGCATTTAGGACATCTAACTAATCGAACTTTTGTGCTGCCTTGGTTTGTCATGTTTCACCAGTTATAATCAAACTGCGATAAAACCGAACAAACAAATCCTGTCATAAAAGCCACAAAGACATTAAAGCTAAATCTGAAGGTACCCGCAGATAGCAAGACCTAATTTAACCATAAAAGTGGGGCAATGCAATCGTACATACTCATACAAGTAGCAGAAAAGCAATCAAAAATCAAATATCTGTAAATTCACTTCAGCTTAAGGATAATTAAGTTATCAGTGATACAACAGCAATGACAGCTTACCTGTATAGGTTTTTATAAAATGAAAGGCAAAAGAAACTAAAAACTATCTGTTGACGACATATGAGCTAATTTTAAAAAGGCCTAAACACAAACTAGATCACTAACCAAGTGCTTTAACGACAAAACCTGCACAGTTCTCAAACGACAATGGTCAAAGAATAAAGCTGCAGTTATATAAACCATCAGTGGGTTCCAAGATCGGCAAATGAAATTGAGCTTAAAAATCTTGAAACTATTCCCATATTTTCAAATTTCAATGGAAGAGAGAGAAGAGAGCAAGACTCTGGAGATTGCCGAAATAAATGATGATGAAATTTAGCTTCGGATTAAACTGAAAATACTAAAAACCATTTACCCAGGCAGTAACGAATTTCACAAGTCGTTCTATTATTCGAGCAAATGAGGGCGGGAACAGGCAAATTAAAGATCAGTTACTTGCAATGAGCAGATTTAAGCTGAAATTAGTGGATATTCAAAGATTGCTGCTATTTTGCCGGCTGCAAGAGGAAATATTATCGACTCTTCTTAATCATTCCCAAAGTGTAGATAATAAAAAAGTAGAATCTTCATAATTTGCACACAGAAACAGATATCATCTTTGTGGCAACAGATTTGGGAAAACAAAAAATTTCAAAAAAGAAAAACAACCTATTTTTCACCCGGAATCTACATGAGAAATGAACAGAACATCACACAGAATATAAACCTTAGCAAAAATGGAGCGCCGACATCAACATCATGCTTATGCTTTAGATTCATACAAGCACCAAAATTTTTTTTT